TATTTTATGGCAAGAGAGGAGATTTGGTAACAAATGTATCCAATTGTATTCAATGCTTTCTTCAATGAAAGTACTAAAGACTTGCTCTGTTGCCTAGAATATTGGTATCTGTATGTTTTTGTGTGGGAGCAATTACAAATCAGTTTCTGAGAAAAAAATGCAGCCTTTATTGCAACATGCTATATAGAGGCAGAATAATCTACTTAGGGCTTCATTTTAGCTATGAATCTCAATTTTCACAAGGGAGTGTGACTCCCATTTTTTCAAAGTTTTTTTTTTTTCTATAGGGCATGTGCACTTGCCAGAGACACAAAGAGAGACAGAGAGACAGAAAGTGAGAAATCATCCCCCTAGTGGGGATGGCCACACCGCAATCCCTTTACCTCCATTCTCCTTTTGGGATCTTGAGCACACACACACGCACATGCCCGGCATGAGTTTTAAGCCACCTGGTCTGGAGCTCGAACTGCAGTCAACTATATGTGAGTCCAGTGACGGAAACATTACACCATCTGCTAGTTCCAGTGACTTTCACTTTCACTTCGTCTATTAGGTCTTCAAGAGAAAGAGCTACTCTGAATCTTAGGCCTAGAACATCTAAGTCATTGTGGCTTGAAAAGTGAAGACAAGCTCAGTTGAGAGCAATGAAGTACAGTTGGCCCTCCATATTCACTGGTTATGCATCCGTGAATTTAACCAATTGAAAAATGAAAGTAATTCCTACAACAATGAAAAATACAAATAAAAAGCCAATGTGGTATAACAACTATTAGGTTGTTGAGGAAGTTATGATGCATTTCTGCTAGAAAAACAGAAAAATACATCATGATTTTCCTGATGACCTAATATTTACATAAAATTTATACTATGTTAGGTATTGTAGGTAATCTAGAGAGGATTTAAAGTATACAGGAGTATGTGCATAGGTTATACGTAACTACTATGCCTTTTTTTTTTTTGAGAGGTTTTTGCTATAGGGTGCATGTGCTCACCAGACAGACAGAGACAGAGAGACAGAAAGCGAGAAATCACCCCCCAGGGAGGATGGCCACACAGCAATCCCTTCTCCTCCATTCTCTTCTTGGGATCTTGAGCATGCATGCACATGCACCCGGCATGAGTTTTAAGCTACCGGGTCTGGGACCCGAACCGTGGTCAACCACATGGGAGTCCAGCGACATTGCCATTATGCTAACTGCTGGTCCCACTACTACACCATTTTAAATAAAAAACATGAGCATTCTTGGATTGGGGTATCCTTTGGGGTCCTGGAACTAATTCCCCCAAGATACCAAGGAACAACTCTAGGGTGGGCTTCCTAGACAAGGTGGTTTGTCCTGACCTTTTGGGACTGTACTGTGATTTGCGTTCTTGTGTCATGATGAGGAGACAACTCTTCAGCTGGATGGATCCACTGTTGTCCCTTGATTTGACACAATTGCCTTCAGTTGAAATGGTGTCAACACGTACTTAGAAAGAGTTCCCTGAAAGAGGTTTATGATAGAACATACCGTAAGGGACAGGACTAAAGATGTTCCCAGTAGCTGCACACTCCTTTCCACTCTTCTTTATTTCTGGTAACACTAGTGCCTCTGCAAGTGGTTTATTTAATCAGCTGGTCACCTGAAACTTGAAACTCGTCATGTTTTTCTTATTATGCTCACTTTTAGAAAGTAGACAGCCAAATGTATGGTCCATTACTAATAAACAGACTGGAACTTACAGCATGATGTTTGTTAAATTACTTTTATTTGGATCTTCCTACTAACTTCCTGCAAATGTCACTCTAATTTATTAACCAAATTGTTTAGTTTTTAAACTTTTTTATTGAAGAATATTACACACTTACTTGTTTAAACTTGTGCTACTTGAATATTTGTAAGCATTCCCACATTCTTTTTAACCCAAGCAATGGAATATGTGTGTGTGTGTGTGTGTGTGTGTGTACACACATGTGTAAGTCCATATACATATGTAAAATGTATGTAATGAAGGAAATTCAAATTAAAAACAAACCAATGAAAGACATCCACAGGTCATAAAATCGATGTGTAAAGTGAATATGATGAAGAAAATTCAAATTAAACATCTGCCGGTCAGCATTTTTGTTCTTTTGTCCTTCTAGCCAAGGACTTTCCCTCCTGCACCACCTCTCCCTGTATTCACAGAAAAAAAAAAAAAAAAAAAAACCCTAGATTTAGGATGTAGAATTGTGTGTGTGTGGTGTGTACGGAAAGACTAGGAGAGGTAGATAAGTTGGCGGTTAGCGAGAACAGCCGGTGAAATGGGCCAGAGAAGGAACTTTCTCATGGTTTTCAGAATGTGGTTCACTTCTATGTTGATGTGATTGATTGCGCCAAAAAGACAGTGTATTTTTTAGATGGAAGATTCATTTTGTATACTGTGATGATGTATAGTGAATTAATGTAAAAATAATAAATTAAAAAAAGAAAAAGAATGTGGCTCACAAAGTGTGTACCCTGGGACCAGCAGATAGTGTAATGGTTATGTTGCTGGACTCCCACGTAGTTGACCATAGTTTCAAGCCCCAGAACCAGCAGCTTAAAACTCATGTTGGGTGCGTGTGGATGCATGCTCAAGATCTTGAGAGGAGAATGGAAGAGAAGGGATGGAGACATGGCCGTCCCCCTGGAAGGGGGATGATTTTTCACTTTCTGTCTCTCTGTCTGTCTCTGTCTCTCCAGTGAGTACATGCTCCCTGTAATAAAAATCTCTCGCTCAAAACAACAACAACAACAACAACAACAAAGTGTGTTCCCCACAGTCAGAGCATTAGCATCATTTGGCATCTTGGCTAGAAATATAAGTTCTTGGCCACAACCCTAGACATCTTTCTGGATCAGAAACACTGGGATGGGTCCAGCAGGCTGTGCTAAATTAAATCCTCCTGGTAATCCTGCTACTACTGAGGTTTAGAACACCTAACTGCCTTGAAGGACATTGAAGATCTGCTTGGCTAACTGGAGAAAAGGGATAAATCACAAAGAATTCCAGCTAATTTACCACTTTGTGTCATCGTTTCTGAAATGGTATGATCTTTAGGATCATAGTGGCATATGGCACCATTACTGGTTTTTATATGGTTGAAGACTTCTGACTCTATTACACTGGGTTATAACTATTTTTAAATTTTTATTTATTTATTTATTTATTTATTTATTTATTTATTTATTTATTTATTTATTTATGTTTTCATGAGCAAGAGAAAGAATGGGAAGGAGAGCTAGCACTCCCAGCAGGGTCCTGAAGCCATAGTTGACTCCCAACCTTCACCTAGCTCCAGATCATGGGCAAGTATATGCCCAGTGTATTCAGCAGCACTTCAGACTTGAACTGGGAACCTGTTCATGTAGGATTGCCTCACAGAATGTTGCATTTTATCACTGTGCCACCATGTGGCCTATAAATTATAACTAATTTTCACATCCTGAATTATTTGCCCCAAAGTAATCCTGGATAAAAATGATTTATGTTTGTTCTTTTTTCCCACAAAAAATAAAAGAATGTAAGTAGATTTCTAAGGTGATTTTCAACTTAGAATGTACTTTATCTTTTTGAAAATACTTTCACATATAAATATTGTTTTATTCTCATTTTAATTTGATTTGCTACATTTTATGGAAGGACTTGAGTTTAGCTTTCCCGCTTCAAAGTTTTGGCATCCTGTGCTATGCTAAGGACTTTTAATTTTGGGTGTTACATTTGGTAAAATCAACTCCAGAATTTTGAAGATCTGCCAGGAAACTTGAGGTCTCAGTGCAATTTGCATAATTCAGTTTTTCATCTAAACCTTTAATGCCGTTTCCCCTTTCCTCTGTTTCTTTTCTTTTTCTTCTTTTTCCTTTTCCTCTCCTTCCATTTTTTTAATGTTTTATGATTATTAGAGGGCACGTGCTCCTGCCACAGAGAGAGAGAGAGAAAGCACCCTCCACTCCACCCATGGTGCATGGTCACATCACAGTCTCTCCCTCATTTCTCCAGCTTCTTAGGATCTGGGGGACACACAGCTGTGTGTGTGTGTTCTTGAAGCCTTCATGACTGATATTCAAACCACTTCAGCCACTTCACCACTCCAGCTCCCCCAACTAGGAGGCTACTATGGGGCTAGCCCTAGCGTTTGCTTTTCTGTATAAATATTAAGTAGGGAACCAGCAGATGACATAGCAGTTATGTCTCTGGACTCCCACGTGGCCAACCATGGTTAGAGTCCCTGACCTGGTGACTTGAAACACACACCAGGCCTATGTGCATGCATGGCCAAGATCCCAGGAGAAGTATGGAGAAGTGATTGTGGCATGGCCATCCCCCCAGGGAGGTGATTTTTCACTTTGCCTCTCACTTGGGTCTGTCTCTCAGTCTCTCTGGCCAGCACATGTGCCCTAAGGCAAAAACCTCTAAAAAAAAATAGATTAAAGAATTAAAAAAACACAACATGTTTCAAAACAACATGATTCAAACAACATGTTGTACATGATAGATAATAGTGTTTTTATTTATGAAGTAAAAAAAAAAAACTCCCCCCCAAGAAAAAAAGAGTTGTAAACACACGTATATACCTAACATATGATTTATCTCAGAACTGCATTGAATGCATAGAAAGATTTGGGGAGACTTTTCAGGTTTGTGATATCCAGTCTTCTAATCACCAAACAAGAGATAACTATTTTTGAGATTTCAATTTAGTATTCTTTGTGTTGTTGTTGGGATTTTCATGAATTACTTTTCTATGGGCTCAATAATGGTCTTTTAAGTTTGCTTATTAGTATTAATCCAGAAATCTGAGCATTTTTCAGGAGAGTGCTAAAACATATTTCAGGATATGTAGTTGACCATCCTACCAGAATAGAGGACTTATGTAGAATATTTTTAAATATAGTTTTCCACATAAATATGTATTTTTTATTTGTTTTGTTTGTTAACCTGTATACACACACACACACACACACATTTATAAAAATACGTATCTATTTACTTTATAGGTGGAAAAATGTTAATCAATGAAAAGACCCATTTTTGGACAAGAGGAAGTGCACAAAGTAGGTCTGCAGGAAATTTGATTGACATGGAAGCCCAAACACTCTCCAAAAACTGCAATATTACAGGTATGGGAATTTATAACTGTTATAATTTGTTCATGTAGGTAAATCTAATCATGCACTAGCACTGCTAACAAGTACTACTGTAGATTAAAAGAATTATAAAATCACAATAATGTCTTGAAGTAGTTATACAGTTATTAAACATTTCTGAAAAAATAGCAGAGTGGATTACAGTATATATTATAAAGAGGCCAACAGTTTTTTTCAAACCTTTTTAAAAATAATTGCTTATGTAATTTTATTTATTCATTCATTTATTTTAATTTGACCAGAGAGAGAGAGATAAAATGAGAAAGTAAATCACCAGGTCCAGGACTCAAACAATGGTCAGCCATATGGGAGTGTCTAGCACCTTAACCACCATGCCACCTGCTGGTCCCGAGGCCAACAGTTTTTAATAAGTGGTATATACAGTAAATACAATGAATTTTGGGATAATAGAAAACTCTGTAAGTTGGATTGACCTAGGAAATTTTAATGGAACTGAAAATAATTGGTCCAATTCTCAGAGGAAAAGTAAAGTTTAAGTGAATTATGAGTAACTGGGTTTAAGAGAAATAAGAAAATAAGGGAAATATTACATTTATTTCTGAAAATGCATCTTCTAGCTTTTAAGATATAACATTTAAAGCTCATTTAAATTGAGATAATAGTTCCACGTATGTTTTTAAAAAGTCTGACAGTTTTACATTTTTTCTCTTCTATAAAACCTCTGTTTTTATTTGTTTGCTTGTTCTAGGTTTTTGCCATAGGGCATGCATGCTCACCAGAGAGAGACAGAGATAGAGAAAGTGAAAAATAACCCCCAGGATGAAAGCTTTTCTTAGGATTTTTGGGTGTGGGTGCGCACACACATGCGCGCGCACACACACACACGCACACATCCACGGCATGATTTTCAAGCCACCAAGTCTGGGATTTTAACTGTGGTCGACCATGTGAGAGTTCAGTGTCTTAAACACCATGCCACCTAATGGCTCCAAACTTCTGCTAATGTAATTGGCCATTTTGGCTTTAATTTTTCTCTAAAGCAGTAACTGCTGCACAGAATCCACAGAGATGCTACGAATACCGAGAAATAACCAAGAGTGGGTTGCTCTAAACATAAAAAAAGAAGTTGACACTGTGGTTTGGATAGAAATTCTTATAATAGACAGGACCAGCAGATGGCATAATGATTATTTGCTGGACTTCCACATCGTTGACCGCAGTTCAAGTCCTGGACCCAGTGGCTTAAAACACTCTGGGCGTGTGTGTGTGTGTCCCCAAAATCCTGAGAGGAGAATGGAGAAGGGACTGTGGTGTGACCATCCTCCTGGAAAATTATTTCTTGCTTTCTGTCAAAAATATCTCTTTAAAAAGAAAAAAAAAAGACATTTTTATAGTATAAAAGGCTATTTTAATGTATTACTAATTATCAAAACACTTTCTAAAGTAATGTTTCCCTTTTTAGTGGTAAGACCATTCTCTGCCTTCACAAGCTCACAAAAGCTTAATAAATTCCTTCAAAAAAGTATATCAATTATGACTTATGTATATATTTTTAAATTTCATGTTTTATTATTATAATTTCATAATTTTGCTATAGAGCATGTGTGCTCACAAGAAAGAGAAAGTAAGCCACCAGGTCCAGGATTTGGATCATGGTTGGTCATGTGGGAGTCCAGCATCTTAACCACCATTCCATTTACTGGCCCCATGGCTTATAGTTTTAATGTTTATTTTTCATGAAAAAAGTTTTCAACATTATTAAAATTTATCAGTACAGATTTATGAGAAAATACTCTCAGAAGGAACCAGCAGTTAGAGTAATGGCTATGTTGCTGGACTCCCACGTAGTCGACTGAGGTTTGCGTCCCAGACCCCGTGGCTTAAAACTCAATGCCAGGCGCGTGTGCGTGCGTGCCCAAGATCCCGAGAGGAGAATGGAGAAGGGATTGTGGCGTGACCATCTCCCCTGGGGGTGATTTCTTGCTTTCTGTCTCTATGTTTCTCTCTGTCTGTCTGGCGAGTGCACGCGCCCTATAGCGAGAAAAAAAAAAAAACCTCTCCAAAAAAAAAGAAAAGAAAATACTCTCTGAAGCTAACGTTGACTATAAAATATATCGTTATAAAAATTATTTTAGTTCTTGACAAATGCATTTTATATTTTATATATTGAATGCTATCTAAAAAGAAAAACATTAAATTAATATACTAGATGTAATGAGGGCAACTATTCAATGTTTAGGAAAATCTAGATAATTCAATTCTTCTTCTTCTTTTTTTTTTTTTGGAGAGGTTTTTGCTATAGGGTGCGTGCGTTTGCCAGACAGAGAGAGAGAGACAGAGAGAGACAGAGAGACAGAAAGCGAGAAATCACCCCCCAGGGGGGATGGCCACGCTGCAATCCCTTCTCTTCCTTTCTCCTCTCAGGGTCTTGGGCATGCACGCACATGCGCCCGGCGTGAGTTTAAGCCACTGGGTCTGGGACTCGAACTGCAGTCGACTATGTGGGAGTCCAGCGACATAGTCATTATGCTAACTGCTGGTCCCTACAATTATTCTTCTTGTTCTGTGGTTTTTTGTGAAGATGAAATAAAATAATATGGCATAAATGCATGATAATCAGAGTGACTTTTAAAAAATGTTAAATATATTATTATCCTAAGTGTTCAACATTTTTTTGTTTTATTTATAAAGTATGATTTTTTTAAGTAGCTTTTTATATGTTAAAAATAATCTGGTAGAAATGTTTCTCTTTCCTTGTTACATGCACATTTATTCAAAGTTAACATTACATTTGTAGTAGCTGGTAGACTGAAAACAAGAAATGAAAATGAAAAGTAAGATCTGAATTTTTAAGTTATGTGAAAAATTAATTTTGCTTATGTTTTAGCATGCCTCCTCATATTTATTTTGCTTTGTTTTTGTTTAAATAAAAAGAATGTCAAAATCCAGACTTGCTTCACCATTGGCCAGATACTTTCACTCTTCCTGGCAATAATGCTTCCAAAAGGACAAATCCATTCTGGAGTGAACTGTCTGCTTCTAACCCATTTTTGGATGACATAACTCAGCTAAGAAATAACAAGAAGAAAAATCATATTTCCATCTTGAAAGAAGATCCTTTTCTTTTTTCTAGAGAAATAGAATGTGGAAATTCTTTTGATTCCTCTGGTGATGAACTTGATGTACAACAATTGCTTAGGCAGTCTTCCTCCAGGAAATCTGGAAGATCTAAAAGTGTTTCAGAACTTCTGGACATTTTAGATGACACAGCACGTGTTCATCCGAGTACACGTAACTCTGACCAGATCCTACTACAAGACTTGGAATGGCTACAAAATGATCGAGAAGCTTATAAAATGGCTTGGTTAAGTCAACGCCAGCTTGCCCGCTCTTGCCTGGATTTGAATACTATTACTCAGACTCCAGGGTGGTCCCAAACACAAATCGCAGAGGTCATCGTAGTTTGTAAATTAAACCACGAAGGAGGGTCTGTACAATTACCTGAATCAGATATCACTGTTCACGTACCCCAAGGTCACGTAGCTGTGGGAGAATTCCAAGAGATATCTCTAAGGACTTTTCTCAATCCTCCACAAATGCTTAACCATGACCTTTCATGTACAGTAAGCCCACTATTGGAAATCACGTTAAGGAACCTTAGTACAATGGAAGCCATTTTACTAGAGATGAAAATTGGAGCCGAAGTGAAAAAGGATCCTTTCAGCCAAGTCATGACAGAAATGGTGTGTTTACACAGCCTGGATAAAGAAGGCCCTTTCAAAGTGTTAAACAACTGCTACATTTATAAAGACACCATCCAAGTTAAACTGGTTGACTTGAGTCAGGTGATGTATCTAGTGGTTGTTGCACAAGCTAAAGCTGTTCAGTCACCAGCTGCCACCATTTGGGATTATATCCACAAAACCACCTCAATTGGAATTTATGGACCTAAATATATCCATCCCAATTTTACTGCTATTTTCACAGTTTGTGGACATAGTTACATGCCAGAAAAGCTGACAATCTCTGATATTAAGAAGGGTGGAAAAAACACCTCTCCAGTTGTATTTCAGCTCTGGGGGAAGCATTCATTTTTACTTGACAAGCCGCAAGATTTAAATATTTCTGTAGTTTCATGTGATCCTGACTTTGAAGTAAAGGCAGAAGGAGAAAGGAAAGAAATTAAACAAAAACAGTTGGAAACAGGTGAAGTAATTCATCAACAATTTCTATTTTCTTTAGTTGACCACAGAGAGATGCACTTGTTTATTTTCCGTGTTCAGGTGGAGCCTCCCAATGGGAGCCCTGTTGCACAGTTCTCTATCACTACACCTGATCCAGCCCCAAACTTAAAAAGACTTTCAAAGCTGCCTGTTACTTTGCAGAAGGAAAAGGAAATCAAGTCTACGCCCTTATTACCAGCAATTCATATCAAATATCCCACATTTCAAGATAGAAAATTAAACTTTACCAACTATGGGGTAACTCTGAAGACTGTGCTAAGACAAAACAAGATTGACTACTTACTTGAATATTTCAAGGGGGACACAATAGCTCTTTTTGGAGAGGGTAAGATAAAAGCCATTGGACAGTCCAAAGTGAAAGAATGGTATGTGGGTGTCCTCAGAGGTAAGATTGGACTTGTGCACTGCAAAAATGTCAAGGTGATTTCAAAGGAACAAGTAATGTCTATGTCCAACGGTATCTTCACAACCAGGAATCTTCTAGAACAAATTGCCCTCCCCTTTAAAAAACTGACTTATATCTATTCCGTTGTGTTGACCTTGGTGTCAGAAAATGTGTATGACTGGAAAGTTTTAGCTGAAGTCCTTGGTTACTCACATCTGGCACTGGAAGATTTTGATCAAATACAAGCCGACAAAGTATCAGAAAAAGTTTCTTATGTTGTAAAGAAGTTAAAAGAAGATTGCCATGCAGATAGAAATACAAGGAAATTTCTTTATGAACTTATTGTGGTAAGTATTGCTTGCTCTCAATAATTTATTTACGATAGAAAACATGATTAACCTGACAATTGAAAAAACTGTGAGAGGGTACTTGGGCTCACGAGAGCAATAGAGACAGAGAGAGAGAGAGCGAGAAAGCACCTTCCCCATGGGAAATGGATACACCACAATATCTCCTCTTCTGTTTTCCTCTCCTTTTGTGATTTTGGGCAGGTACACACATGCCCTGCACCAGGCATGTGTTTCAAGCTGCCAGGTCCAGGCCTCGATCTGTGCATTGGTCATGTGGCATGCAGCAGCCTTAACCACTGTGTTGTGATCTGGCCAAACCCGATCATATTTATAACCAAACATATGACATCAGTAACATTTTTTTAAAAAAAGTATTTCAGCCATCTCTACTAAACTGAAGCCACTTTAAAGCAATTATAGAGTTTTTACTATAAGATCATATGGTTGGGGAACCAGCAGTTAGCGTAATGGCTATGTCGCTGGACTCCCACGTAGTTGACTGCGGTTCGCGTCCCGGACCCGGTGGCTTAAAACACACTGGGCACGCGTGCATGCATGCCCAAGATCCCGAGAGAAGAACGGAGGAGAAGGGATTGCAGTGTAACCATCCCCCCTGGGGGGTGATTTCTTGCTTTCTGTCTCTATGTCTCTCTCTGTCTGTCTGGCGAGCGCATGCACCCTATAGTGAAAATCTCTCCAAAAAAAAAAAAAGAAAAAAGAACATATGGTTGTACTTTTATATTTGGGAATCAGTTGTGACCTAGAAAATAGCCTCCCTGCTCTGAGGATTATCTTTTAAAGAAATTCTAAAGGTTCTGTTTGTGCTGGGCCTAACAATTAAGAAGACGTCAGTATTTAGATAGCACTTTAAGTATCAGAGTAACTCCATAGCGTGAAAGTAAGTAAGAGAAAATTGAAGCAAAACTACCTTGGCCATTGCTAAAGGAACATTTTTCAGTTTATTTTTAAAAAGCATATTATTGATATCCTTTACTTTAATATAGATATTCGTCCATGTTTTTTCTTTTAAGTTTTGTTTTGTTTAGTTTTTGTTGTAGAGCATATGCACTCACCACAGGGAGACAGAGAAGGAGAGAGAAAGTGAGAAATCACCTCCTGGCGGGGATGGCCATGCCGCAATCTGTTCTCTAACAATCTCTTCGAGGGATTTTATGCACACACGCACAAACGCATGGTGTGATTCTCAAGCCGCTGTGGCTGGGACTCAAACCACGAAGCTGGCCATGTGGGATCCAGCTTCTTAACCTCCATGCCACCTGCTGGCTCCATTAATCCTCATGTTTTAATAGATCTCACAGGATCAAATTTTCTGAGAATATTATTCACTTCCATGGATGGTTCAGTGGAAAGTTACAAAAAACTGTTTTGCCTTTAAAGTAGAAACTTAATATTTTACAAAACTGAAAAATATCCAGAGCATATTTCTAAAAATGATTAAAGCAAGAATGCATAAATAATAGTGATGATAGCTAATACTTCTCTAGAGTTTCCTGTGTGTTTGGCACTGTGCTGAATACCCTATACATGTTATCTCATTTAGCCATCGTAACAACTCTCTGGGGTAAGTTAGTTACTTTTATCTTACAAAGGAAAGAAATTGAGACTTAGGCACTTAGGCTATTTGCCCAAAGTCCCTTAATTGGTTATTATTAGAGAAGGGATTTGGAACATTTCTGGTTCCACATCCATGCTTAAAACCACTAGATTTTCCTTAAAGAAAGTGATTGTGTGTGTGTGTGTGTGTGTGTGTGTGTGTGTGTGTGTGTTGGCATGTATGTTAAGTAGAATAGTAAATATGAGATGCTAGCCCTCTAGGAGATGGGTGAGACTATTCTGGTAGGTTCACATAGAGAAGCAAAGTTTCAGTCCAAGTGCAAAAGGAGGAGAGAAAATTTGGAGGAGGAATTTAATCTGTGACCTTAACCATAATTCATATAATGAATAAATACATAAAAAAGCTTCTCCCCTTAAATTTAAAAAAATGAATGATGTATTGTATTACAAACCCGAGAGTGAGAGAGAGAGGTTAAGTATCCTCCACAGGACACAGTCATGCTGCGATCCTCTTCCTCTAGGCCTCTAGCTCTTTGAGTCCTGGCCACTGGCATGTGCCTGGTGTTTTTCAGGTCAATTGGGCCAGGGACTTAAACTGTGGTAGCCATGTGGAATCCAGCTTCCCTCGAGCAGCACATTACTGCTGCACCATAGACCCGGCTCTCCTTCAATTGTTTTGATGATTCTACAGGGACACTAAGAGTGGTTAAAATTTAATTTCAATATACAGTTGTTAAGTGGTAATCTTAGACAATGTGCTGCATTCTTACATTTAAACAAAGTTTATTTATTTACTTACTTGTTTCCTGAATGAAAGAGACCACACCCCAACAAGATCCCAATGCCATGACCCATCCTGAGCTTCAGCCAACCCTGGATCATGGACACACACATGCCTGACATAGTCAAAGACATCTCTGGATTGAATTGGGAAGCTTGCCATATGGGATTGCCCTGCAAAGCATGTGTTTTATCATGGAGCTATCACCTGGGCCCTGCATTCTCATTTAATCTGTGCCATTCTGAGTCACTAGAGACGGAATATTAGAAGCTTATAGTTGATAGAAGCTGCACATACATTAGTTTGCAGTAATTTCTTGCCTCTCAAAGCTCATGTTCAGCTTAACTATTGAACTGAAATTGTTTTCTTTACTTTTTTTTTTAAGTTTATAGTTATTTCTTTTGTGTGTGTGAGAGAAAGGAACAGAGCAGTAGCACCCCCAACATGGCTCTGCTGCCATAATCCACTCTCAGCTTTAGCCAGGCCTTTAGCCGGGATCACAGATCTGCACATGTGCATGCCTGGTGTACTCAGGGAGGTCTCCAGACATGAACTTGGAACCTCCCCATGTGGGTCAGCTTCAGAGACCATTGCTTTTTACTACTGCAACACTCGCCAGACCCCAAATTGCTTTCTTTTGTTCACCTGGTGGCCTAAAAGAGGTTTTGTTAAACAAATGGTCTGCAAGTACAAGCTTGATGCACTTTTTGGAGGTATGATAACAGAGTGCCCTGAATAGTTAATTAGACAATACCGGCGAAAAGCCATTCAAGGGAGTAGTTTCCAAGGGGTTCTCCAGACTCCCACTGTGCTCAGTGGAGGCTTCAGAATTGCAGTGTGGAAGGTGCTTAGACCTGGCTATTTGATGGGAAAGCCATGGAGCATGCAGTGTAGCACTGTCTCTTGAAACTATTTTCATAATAAGTATACATTTTTCTTGGCTTGTATATTAATCTAGGGTGGGTAGAAGGGAGCTGGTGAGGCTGAAAAAGATTGAGGGATCTAAACTCGTTAGCAATCTCTAGACATTGAGACTAGCTGTCCTATATACTTGACATTGGACACCCTCTAAAGCACTTCAACATCTGTTTCAACTTTCATGACTGTAGCAGATTAGATGGGGTGGTATTACGATCATATGACTTTTTAAAAATTCATTAAATCATGTGATTCATGTAAGACCTTATAGTTGGATTTTAAACTAGGGTTAAGTGACTCTAATTGCATATATATTTTTCCTAAAATAAGAAACCAGAGGGTCAGCCCCAGAGCCTGGTGGTTGGGGGCAGCTGAATCTTACGTGGTCAACTGTGGTTTGAATCCCAGCTCTTCCTGGGCTTGAGAAACACACTGGGCACATGTACATGTGTGTCCCAAATCCCAGGAGGATGGAGAAGAAGGGATTGTGGTGTGACCACACCCTCTTGGGGGTACTTTGTCCCTCTCTCTGTGTCTCTGCTGTTCCTGGTGAGTACATGTAGCTTCTGACAGTTAAGAAAGAAAGAAACTGAACTGTTTAGTGGTAAACTCACTCTACAGTTTATTGTACTTTTTAAAAAGAAGTATTTCTTAATTTTATTTATTATTATTATTTTGCTATAGGGCATGTGCACCTACCAGAGAGAGAGAGAGACAGAGAAAATGAGGAAGCAAGCTGCCAGGTCCAAAACTCCAACCATAGTCACCATGTGGGAGTCCAATTCCTCAACCACTGTGCCACCTGCTGGTCCCCAGTTTGCTTTAACAACCTTAAAGTTTCAGCATTGCTTCTCACTAAGGCTGTAAGTCCTTAGTATAAACATATAGATAGATTATCTAAGTATAAAACCCATAAATAAACAAATAAAAAAACAGTGAGAGGTGCCAGCAGGTGGCATGGTGTTAAGGCACTGGACTCCCACATGGTCCATTGCAGTTTGAGTCCAGGATCTGGTAGCTTGCCTTCTTAGTTTCCCTCTTTTTCTCTCTCTGTCTCTGGTGAGTGCACGTTACCTATAGCAAATTTTAAAATAATAATAAACAAAATGAAATAAATTTTTAAAAATCTATGGGAGTATTTCTACAATAATTGTATGCTTCTGTGGCCAGCAACTGGTGTGGGGATAAAGGGCACCGGACTTCCATATGGCTGACTGCGGTTCAAGTCTTGGACCTGGCAGCTTGTTTTCTCATTCTTCTTCTTCTCTCTCTCTCTCTCTCTCTCTCTCTCTCTCTATATATATATATATATATAATTATTTAAAAATAATAATTTTATACTTCTATAGGAATAACACACTATAGATTTCATAATTGCCTATTTGACCATTCATTTTTAATTATTTTATATTGGCAGATAAAGCTTCTAAGTGCCATTAAATAACAAGGAACTACAGAATATTTTAATTTGCTTATTTAAACATTAAAAAGGCATAAATAGATATAAAACCATATTTTTATTTAAAAGAAATTTTTTAGACAGTGTCTCACTATGTTGTCCAGGCTGGCTTTGATGTCTCAATCCTCCCGCCTCAGTCTCTGAAGAATATGAGATTATAGGTGTGAACTACTGCACCTGGATAATCTCATATTTTAAAATAGTATTCAAGGCAAAACAGAAACTTGTAGACTAGTTTGAGATGTACATGGGACAAAAAGCTCAGATGCCCCATAAAGGACAAACACAAACTGATGGTTTTCCATTTTGCATTGTAGAAGACTAAATGTTGCTTGTTTTGTTTTGTTTTGTTTTGTAGAGAGGTTTTTGCTATAGGGTGCGTGCGCTCAATAGACAGAGAGAAAACAGAGACAGAAAATGAGAAGTCACCCCCAAGAGGGGATGGCCATGTTGCAATCCCTTCTCCTCCATTCTCCCCTTGGAATTTTATACACACATGCACACACGCCCAGCCTGAGTTTTAAGCTGCCACGTCTGGGACTCAAACCACAGTCGACTATGTGGGAGTCCAGCGACATAACCACTATGCCATCTGCTGATCCCAAAGTCTAAGTGTTTTATCTTTAAATTCTGTGGTTTATATTTAACAAATATATTGTTGGCTTTTTAAAAATTTAATTTAATTTGTTTATAGCCATGTATTTTTTATTTAAATTTATTTACTTACATTCATTCACTATACATCATTACAGCATACAAAATGAGATTTCCCATCCAGAATACACTGTATATTGGCTCAATCAAGCACATCGACATATGTGTTATTGTCAACAAATAATTTTCCATTTCTTGTTTCCTGTATATATAGCCAGACAGACAGAGAGAGACAGAAAGCGAGAAATCACCAGCCAGGGGGGATGGTCACGCCGCAATCCTTTCTCCTCCATTCTCCTCTTGGGATCCTGGGCATGCACGCACACGCGCCTGGCATGAGTTTCAAGCCACCGGGTCCGGGACGTGAACCGCGGTCGACTACGTGGGAGTCCAGCGATATAACCATTACGCTAACTGCTGGTTCATAGGTATTTTTAAAGTATTTTTTAATTTCAAGAAAAACAAGTTTTGTGTTTTTCTCCTGAAACTATTTTTTTAGTTAATTAATTAATTTACATTCATCCCCTAAGCATCGTCACAGCATACAAAATATAAGGCTTTGTGGCTTAATCATGCATGTTATCATCAATAATTTTCCATTTCTAGTTATATATATATATATTTACCCCTATGCCTGACCCTCTGCCCTTTCCTACCCTCTTCTTGGCCATGGAGGTAGTTAATATTAAACATTTATAATTATTAATAGCTTTATTCCTATTTAAAGGAATGTCTTATTTTTATGCAACAGACATGATTCTGGGAAGTTTTATATTACATTTTGGTGAAAAGTAGAATAAATTCACCATCATCCAAGTGCTCACTCTTTAGAGAAATTCTGTAGTCAGTTCTCTGGTACAGCAAAGGCCATGGAGGTAGTTAATATTAAACATTTATAATTATTAATAGCTTTATTCCTATTTAAAGGAATGTCTTATTTTTATGCAACAGACATGATTCTGGGAAGTTTTATATTACATTTTGGTGAAAAGTAGAATAAATTCACCATCATCCAAGTGCTCACTCTTTAGAGAAATTCTGTAGTCAGTTCTCTGGTACAGCAAAGGAGGCTTTTTTTTTTTTTTTTTTTTTTTTTTTTTTGAGGATAATCTTGGACCGGTAAATTATGGACTGCTGGAATCTCAAAGTACATTTTGAAGTGTAGACATCCACTAGTTTTTTTTTTTAATTTTAAGATACATACTATTGTAGTAAGTGTGGTTTGCCCAGGGTCCTATAGTTATTCAATGTAAGTTATTCACTGTATTAGTCCTAATTAGCCTCTAATTCTGGTTTGGTTATGCTACTGTAGTTTGCTTGATGCAATTGCTTAAAAGTGAATCAACTTTCTGAGTTTTAGAAGCCTAAATTATGTGTGTATGTTAGGGGTGGAGAGGATTCTCTAATATCTAGAATATGTAATAAAAATTAAAACATTTAAGAAAAAGATCAATTAGTTGCTTCTTAAAAAAAAGATTTTTTTCTTTCTTTTTTTTTGGAGAGATTTTTGCTATAGGTAGGGCGTGTGCACTCACCAGAAAGACAGAGAGAGACAGAGAGATACAAAGCGAGAAATCACCCCTGAGGGTGGATGACCGCAGTGCAATCCCTTCTTCTCCATTCTCTCAGGATCTTGGGTACGCACGCTCATGCGCCCGGCGTGAGTTTAAGCCGCCGGGTCTGAGATCGAACCGTGGTAGACTACGTGGGAGTCCAGCGACATAGCCATTACGCTAACTGCTGGTTCCTAAAAAATATTTTTTAAGAATTATTTTATTTCATTTATCATCATCATTATTACTTGTTCAATTTGACCAGAGAGAGACAGAAAGAGAGAAAGAGAAAGTAGGAAAGCAAACCTCCAGGTCCAGGACTTGAACTGTGATCAGCCACGTGAGAGTCCAGCACCTTAACCACCATGCAACCTGCTGGTTCCAGTTGTTTTTTTTTTTTAATTGTCAGAGTATACATGTGCTTGCAAGAGAGAGACAGAAAAAACAGTTAAGAGAGAGGGAGAAAGCAGTGCCCAAAGGGATGTGTTCACACCACAAACTTTCTCCTCTACCAGTTCATCCTAAAAGGATCCTGGGCATGCGTATGTGACCGGAATGTTTGCCATGTTTTTCAAGCCTCAGGTGCAGGGACTTGAACAAAGGTCAGCCATGTGGGATGCAGCTTCCTTAATCGTTATGCTACTGGTCCAGTGCACAAATCAGTGTCTTTAAATTCTGACCTGTAATTGTCACTGCAGGCTCTGTTGAAGATAGATTGCCAAGGCTTAGTAGCACATCTCATTCAAGAGGCTGCAATTCTGACTTCAGCTGTCAAGCTTGGAAAAGGCTGGAGGGAACTAGCTGAGAAGTTAGTTCAACTCACAAAGCAACAAATGGAAGCATATGAAATTCCTCACCGAGGAAAAGCTGGAGATATTGCTGTTGAGGTAAGATTTTCTTTCTCAAACTTAATAGTGAAAAGTTGTGTACCAACTAAAGCAGGTGCAGGCAAGTCCGTGCCACATTCACAGATTAATTGGGGATGTCTAGGAAGATACACTCACTGAAGTCTCTGCGCTGTAATCCATCGGTACCATCTGAAATATACACACATCCCTCTTAAGAGATATGGAGAGCCTTCCAAATCCACTGACGTTTCTCCCATTGGATTTCATGTGAACATAACCTTTGATCACATCATTTGATCGACTTGGATCAGTAAGTACGTTGTAAGGGCTATAAGAAAAGAACTCGAGGCATACAACAGGTAAATTTCAAAGGAAATAAATATAATGAAGTCAGGACAAGGGACAAAGATATATAATAAGGATTTATCCATCTCAGGCATAGGCTTGGTCATTTGTGGAAGATGTCGCTGATAATGTTTCATTATCGCCTTCACAATTTTGCACACACTATGAACTATAGACATAGAATCAAGAGCAATAGCACTTGGTACAAAGGAAATACTTTCCATGAAAATGTTATTTTTATCAAGTTTTTTTTTTTTTTTTTTTTTTTTTTTCCAGAGAGGGGATGGCCATAGCATACCAAAGGGACAGAAAAGCAGAAAGCAAGAGAGGGGATGGCCATGCTGCAGTCCCTTCTCCATTCTCTTCTTGAGATCTTGGGCATGTATGCGTGCATGCGCACCTGGTATGAGTTTCAAGCCGCCAGGTCTGGGACTCAAACTGCAGTCAACTCCGTGGGAGTTCAGCAACACAACCAACCATTACACCATGTATTGGTCCCTATTATTATTATTATTTGGAGAGGTTTTTGCTATAGGGTAGATGTGCTTGCCAGAAAAACAGTGAGAGACAGAGAGACAGAAAGTGAGATATCATCCCCCAGGGAGGATGGCCACGCCTCAATTCCTTCTCCTCCATTCTCCTCTTGGGATCTTGGACACGCATGCACATGCATTTGGTGTGAGTTTAAACCACAGGGTCCGGGATTTGAACCACGGTCAACTACATGGGTGTCCAGCAACATAACCATTATGCCAACTGCTGGTCTCTATTTTTATCAATATTAAAATAGATGTACGCTATTAGGTTCCAATTAAATATTTTCTTTACATGATCATAAAATGAGTCTGCTTTTATTGAATGAAATGAAACTACTCCAGTGATGAACATATATAAAATGTTCCATATCCTTCTCTTGTAAGAGTGTAAGCATTTGGAAGATTTAAGTTTAGGAAAATACTGTCTCTTATATGATAACTTGGCAGGAGTGTATGGGATACTGTCTATCTCCTTTTGGGGGGCATAGAGTTGGTTGTTCATTTTTGATAAATTTTCTTACTTTTAAGTAACTATTCCAGCTAGGTGTCCAGGACAGAGCAAGCTTTCCATGAAGACTAGAGAGTCAAATCACATTCTTTGAGTCTCAGCAGTTGCATTGGAAGTGTCAGTCGGCAGCTTCTGGGTTTCTGCAGCGAGGCATCTCTCCACCAAGGACCCCTGTAACACAGAACTCTTGAGCCAGGAACAGCCACGGTCCCCCTCATACTGCCCCCCTCTACAATGGGGTATTCCTTTCCATAAAGGTGGAAGGACATTAAAGCCTATAAATGAGCATAACATAGTATCGAACGAAGTGCACAAAATGGCCTCCGGTGTTTCCTAAATGAGCTAGCAGATGAGAAACACTTAGAAGAAAAAGAGAACAATATCATGAGGGATATATTGTTATGATTTTGGCGTTTCAGTTAAGTGATTAAAAGTTGTCTAATTGAAAGCAGGTTTTTTTGTTTTTGTTTTTCCTCAGTCAGGCTGTGGCTCTGAAAGAGTTTTGTTGAGAGTTATTTATCAGAGTTATTTATCCCTTCAGTCCCCTCAAGCATGTGGTTTCTCTGTAATTGTGGTTGTTTATAGTTTATCTTCCCTCAAATCTTGATGAAGCCAACAAACAGCCTGCTTTTCCATGAGTTACTTTTGCACAATCCGAGTCACCAATGACTAAGTCTATGCCATTGGCTGATACATACTCAGAAGCAGAAAGTCCCTAGGCATCTTCCTTGGAACTATACTTCAATTTATTGTGATTTATTTGTATGTAATCACTCTGATCCATGTTATTAAATACTCAGAAAATTTCATGGTATATTGGCTAAAGGCATTCTAATTAATTTACTGAAATCTTTGCCTGTTAGGCCACTTAAAGGAAAGTGTAGATTTATGTTAATTTTTAACTACTGTCTCCCCCCCCCAATAGCTGTACAGTTTTTTTTTGGAGAGGTTTTTGCCATAGGGCGTGTGTGCTTGCCAGACAGACAGAGACAGAGAGACAGAAAGCAAGAAATCACCCCCCAGGGGGGATGGCCATGTCACAATCCCTTCTCCTCCATTCTCCTCTTGGGATCTTGGGCACACACACACACGCACCCGGCGTGAGTTTTAAGCCACCAGGTCCGTGGTCGACTACATGGGAGTCCAGCGACATAGCCATTACATCAACTGCTGGTCCCAGCTGTACAGTTTTTGTCTGTGAAATGAGATAATGCTTCAGCATAATCCATTTGCAAATCAAGCATCTGATTTCAAAATACCCTGACATTAGTTACTGGTAGGGGATGCAGCATGCAGCAGGTGGTGAGGGTGGGAAACTGGCCTTGGGCCGGGGAGATGACTAGCCTAGGAGTTCTGCTTTGTTTCTTTTATTTCACGTCCACAGAGAATACAAGTTCCAGAACTTTCTCTGTGTGTGACAATGCCTATAACTGGGCCTTCCACTTACATTTTCTCCTTTTCACCTTCTCTCTTTTTCCTGTGTTCTCTAGGTTGTCAGAAAAGTCATGAAGTGTTTTTCTTTGTTTTTCTATGCAAAACTGTGTCATGACTTTCCGGATGACCCACATTCAAACTGTACCTAACAGGTAATTATCTGGCACTAACTCTATGCCAGGCACTGTGCTGAGAACATTGAAAGCATTCACTTATTTGATCCTTTCAACGAACACTTGCAGGACAGACACTAATATTGTCTAAGATACAAAGAGGAGCAGTAACTTGTTTAAGTGTACAGAGTCATGGAACCCAGTTAAAGCACAGACATTTGACTTGGGAGTGCATGTGCGTGGACAGTTATACAATGATGCAGTAGGGCCTGTGCTAAAAGAATTTGCCCGAAACAGAAATGCGAGCATGAGCAAAAGTACAGCTTTTCTCAGAGTTCACCTGGGAGAGACAGGCAGGAATATCCTGGGTGAGACCTCAGCAGGTTCAGGGGGTTGTGCCTTTTAGTACAGAAGGTCTCCTTTCAATGGTCTCTGATCACAGGGGAAGATAAAGGTAAACTGTATGAGCTCTGTCCAGATGAGGGGCCAGTCTTTTCTCAGGAATGCAGAGCATCTCTTAGCCACAGGTGATTGTGGAGGTGGCGCCAGAGGGGGTCTGGAACATCTGTTTTCCCTGTTGTAAAAGCTTATCTGGGGGGAGGTGGAGGGGCTTTATCTTGGGCCCTTAATCTGGGCAAGTTTTCTTACTTTTTTAGGGAAAGCTTATCTTAGGTCCCCTTTATTAACTTTTGCTTATTTATTTTCTTTTTTTAAAATATTATATACATATATACATCTTTTTATTACATTTAGTCATTATACTTCTTTTTTTTTCTTTTTTTTCTTGAGAGGTTTTCACTATAGGGCGCATGTGCTCGCCAGACAGAGAGAGACATAGAGACAGAAAGCGAAAGATCACCCCCCAGGGGGGATGGTCACGCCGCAATCCCTTCTCCTTCATTCTCCTCTCAGGATCTTGGGCACACACGCACACGTGCCTGGCGTGAGTTTTAAGCCACCAGGTCCAGGATGTGAACCGTGGTTGACTGCGTGGCAGTCCAGCGACATAGCCATTACGCTAACTGCTGGTTCCTGTCATTATACTTCTTTACAGCATACATAATGAATTTTCCCAACATGAATAATGTATATTAGTCTAGTCAGAGATATTACTAAACACATTAGCATTAACAAATAATTTTTCATTTTTGTGTCCACTAAATGTTTTGCCTTCCCCGCCCCCGTGATTCCCTCCTGTGTGACTTCCATTGCCCAACTTCCTTCCACATTGTCTTTTTTTTATATTTTTTTATTTTTGAGAGGTTTTTGCTATAGGGCGCTGCGCTTGCCAGACAGACAGAGAGAGACATAGAGACAGAAAGCGAGAAATCACTCCCCGGGGGGGATGGCCATGCCACAATCCCTTCTCCTCCATTCTCCTCTCAGGATCTTGGGCATGCACGCACACGCGCCCGGCGTGAGTTTTAAGCCACCGGGTCCAGGACGCGAACTGCGGTCGACCACGTGGGAGTCCAGCGACATAGACATTACGCCAACTGCTGGTCCCTCCACATTGTCTTTTGTACCACGCTTGCTCTTCATGCTTTTATACCTCCTAATCTTTCAATTTCTGCTGTAGAGTACAGATGTTTGGTATATATTAAGAGGGGACATACAATGCCTTTCGTTCAGAGAGAGAGAGAAAGACAGACGGAGGGAGAAAGCCCCCCCCCACCATGGGGTATGTTCATACCACAAGCCCGGATCATCCATCTCTCCAAGCCTGTCAGGAGTTTGGTCATACACGTATACACAGCTGGCATGTTTTGCAAGCCTCACAGCACTGGGATTTGAATAGCAGTTTAGCATGTGGGATCCAGTTCCTCATAACCACTTGGCTACAAGGTAAGTCCCCTTTGTCCTCTTTTCAAGCCATATTATGATACTATGAATATTGACTCACAACTTTATCAAATTTCAAAGCTAATTAAAGACAAAGAATATGAATAGTACATCTGTCAGATTTTCTTAAGTATTTTTTGAACATGTCTTATAGTTTTAATTGAGGGAGGTCTAATTTTGTATCTTCTAGCCATAATCTTTGTTCCTCCTCATTTTCTTTCTTCTTCTTCTTTTTTTTTTTGGAGAGGTTTTTCTGCTTTC